CACACACACACACACACACACACACACACACACACACACACACACACACACACACACACACACACACACACACACACACACACACACACACACACATACAGGCACAGGCAGTTGCACTGACTGACGTTGTTGGGGTTTCGATGACACTGTCCTCTGTGAGACGGCGGGAATCGTGAACGCCTGTGCCACTGTAACCGCGACCACTGGGGCTGACCATCATGCCCAGCCCATCTGCAGCCTCATCATCATCGGCCTGCTGCCCAAGGAAGCAGCATGTCGTCAGGGCGTTGCCCATCTGCCGTCCGTTGTACTCTTGTCCGTCCGTTGCGGTTGATGAGTCATCACACTCAAATCCAACGCACACGTCACATCATTCACACATGCGTGTCCTTCCTCCACACACCACCAAGCACCACCAACACAGGTCCTTTCCCTCGACGATGAGTGGGTACAACCACAACAGCCACGGAGGCGGCACCACGACGGTGATCCGCTACGACCACCGCACGCACACGGCAACGTCCACAACGACCGCGGGACCGTACCCTCCTCAGCAGAACCAGCAGCAGATTGACGCCTCCAAATGTGTGTGTGTTGCATCTGTGTGTGTGTGTGTATGTGTGTGTGTTGCATCTGTGTGTGTTGTATGTGTGTGTGTGCGTGTGTGTATGTGTGTGTGTGCGTGTGTGTGTGTGTGGCGATCGGTGCAGGTGTGCGAGGAGATAGGTGCTGAACATGGGCTTAACACATCACACTTCGCTTTGCTCGTCATGCAGATCTGGAACCCGATCGCAGCTTGTACACAAACGAATGGGATGAGGGCTTCTGGAGCGCACCCTGCGCCGACCCAGGATTCTTTTGCCTCTCTATCCTCTGCAGCCCGGTAAGTTTGCTCGTATTTGTCTGTGTCTGTATGTGTGTGTGTGCGAGAGAGAGAAGGAGGGAGAGAGAGTGTGTGTGTGGTGTGTGTGTGTGTGGTGTCTGTGTGGTGTCTGTGTGTTTGTGTGTGTGTCAGTGAGGGAATGTGCGTGCGCTTGAGCGACACATAACCAGGGACGTTGTTGATGCTAAAACCAAGGTGCAACAGATCTCACCCTGCCTTGCTTCGCTCCCACGGCTCCAAACTCGCTCGCAATATGGTTTGGCAGTGTGTTTCCTTCCACTTGCGACAGCGATACTACCAGAACGATCTCAGCAGATACGAGTGCGTCCACCTGTGCACCTGCGTGCGCTCTCCATGTCTGTGCATGCTCTGTGTGTGTGCGCGTGTGTGGTTGGTTGGGTTGAGTTGTACCCTCGCACCTTTCCACATGTTCACGGATATTCACACACACACGCACACACACGCATTTGTGTCGCGTGAATGCCATTCATCGAAAGGTGCTGTGCTGGCAAATATGGCATCCTGCCGTGCGAGTGCTGCTACTGCCGTGATTCTGCGTGCCCCGGCTGCTTGCTCGCTGCTGAGGTGTGAGACGCAAGAGGACAGCCATCTCAATTTGCTCGTGTGTGTTGTGCGTGTTGTGTGTGTGTGTGTTTTGTGTGTTTTGTGTGTTTGCGTGCGTGCGTGCATGCGTGTGTGCGTACGAACATGTGCATCTGCGTTTGCGTGCGATTGCCAGTGAAGTTGCTGTGCTCACGCTCAAGCGCTCGCCAATGCTGGTGTGGCCATCAGGTGGTCCTTTTCCACCCGTGCTCCATTATGGGCACCAGGATGGCGCTGCAGGACGACCTTGAGCTCAAGAACACGTGCTGCGACAAAACCATGCTGGTGCGTGTATGTATGTATGTGTATGTATATGTGTATGTATGTGTATGTATATGTGTATGTATGCGTATGTATATGCGTATGCATGTGTATGTGTTTGTACATGTATGTGTGTGTGTTTGTCTGTGACGACACAATTGGGAGCTGCCACACCTCAGGTCAACCCGTGGTTGCATTTCACATCATCGATATCTCATCCACACATTATTCTACGTGTTTGTTCAGTGCATGCTGGGTCTGGTGAAAGCAGCCGCTGCGGTGCTCAAGTGCATTGGCTGCCGCGCGCAAGCAAACCTCTGCACCTGCATGGGCGACACCGCTTTTACGCTGTACGTTGCGTGTGTGTATGTGTGCATGCGAATGCATGCGAATGCATGCGAATGGATGATGGCATGCGGCTGCCTGTTTGGCAGTAGATGTTGTTGACTCACATCAAGGATCACTGACGCGGCATTCCTGCCACCTCACCACCCCACACCACACCACTCTCCATTCCACCCCACCTTACACGTCTCGTTCCACGACAGCATCTGCGGGTGCATCCAGACGCAGAACAAGCTGCAACTGGACGCACGTGACGCGGCCATCAGCGCGGGCCGCAACCCCGTCATCACCCGCCAGCCAACCGACAAAGACCCGCTCGTGCCTCGTGCACCACCGCCGTACGGGCCTTAAACATGGCTGTGCAGCTGGCACGGTACTATCATCGTTCTCGTCGTCGTCGTCGTCGTCGTTATCGCTGTCATTGTGAAAGTGGCAGTTGTCTGTCGTTCCTGTTTCTGCATCAGCAGTGCGGCAACTCCTGTTGTTGCCGTTGTTGGAGCAGTGGAGTTTGCAATTTAGAGGGCGTAGAAGGTTCATGTTGCGGTGACATGTGTCACTATCAAAGAGTTACATTACATCATCATCGGTGTCTACGTCGCGCCTTTTTGTGTGTATGTGCATGTGTGTGGCGTTGAGGACTTCATGTGCCTTGAAATGTCTACTTGTCATTGTGGTAGCTGAGCGGTATAGTACACAACACAGCAGCAACACAAAGTGGAGTCAAGCAAACACACCCGAGACAACTACAAACGGGAGAAACATGTGCAAACACAACAAGATGACTGACCAAAGAAAGGGGTGGGGCAGGCAGAAGCACAACCCTGCACAGTGCGTGCAACATGCGTGCGTGTGTGTGTGTGTGTCTAGAATGACTGGCCACCGAGCTTGCGCGGCGTCATGAACTTCTCAACGTCCGCATCTGTCACCTGTGCACGGCGCTCCTGTTGCCACCGACAGAAGTTGAGGGGGAGGGGAGAAGGTGTGTGGGTTAAGGAATGAGTTCGTGGAGATTGAGGTTGAGTCTGCATGGGGAATGCGCGCTGAAGTATATACGCACGCAATGCACTCTTTCCCTCACACACACAATCCTTCCAACACACAAACAAACAAACAAACAAACAAACAAACAAACAAACAAACAAACAAACACACAAACAAACAAACAAACGGGTGGCGGACCTGGTGCTGCTTGACAATGTGCTGGAGGACCTTTGTGAGCTCCTCCTTGACGGCTGCGGTCGTCATCTTCTCGTCGCCAGCAGCATACGCGCTCCCAATCGCCTCAAGCTTCTCGTCGTCCTCCATGAAGAATCGTAGATACTGGTACGAAA